CCCCAAAACCCCAAAACCCCGCTCTGATTTTATTAATAAAATTTAGAGTATTATAATAATAAATAGATAGTAATATGTCTTCTACAAGCTAGCCAGAAAATAGCCCTAATCAGCCCCAATTATCACAAAAAGGGACACCTGATTACTAAAATAATGAGTAATTACTAGAATTAAGGTTATGATGAAACATATAGTCAAAATATTTTAGAAAATTAAGATGCTCACAGTCCAAATAATGATAATAATGAAGACTAATCTGACAATCAAAAACCTCAACTGTAAGTGAAAGAAATCATGATAAAGTCAGTCATTAATTGTTATTTCCAGAAATAACAATGAAAAGATATTGGGAAAACGAGTTACTAGGTCCTAGGGCTCAAAAAGTCATGAGTAAGTCACTGATCCGGAAAAAAATTCATTTTCACTATATTTTTGTTTGTTAATAAAAGACATAGATCGAGCTCATCTGTCAAAGATCAAATAGAGAATGATAAGGAAATATTTTAGCAGGGTGATTAAGATGATAGATCACATAATCATGAGCACTTGGAGGATTAAAAACAGCCAGTTTAAGAAAAGCCAAAATCGAATGCACCTCTAGAAAGTAAGTAATAAGTAAAAGTTATAGGCTATTAAGTTTTAACAAAATTTTGATAAAAAAGCTTATTAAGTCATCAGAATATTGTTCAAAGAAGAGAGTTTGCTTTTAGTAACTAACTTTTATAGTTCATTGTTTGGATGCTAATACTGATGAAGATGATAATCTAGAGGGTGACTTCGTAGCCTAAAACTTCCACTACTACAAGGAATATTGCCAATTATACTATGCGAATACTATTCTAACTACAAGACTATAGTAGCTGCTAAATGAAAAGCAAGAGTTGCAGTTCAAGCTAAATAGACTAGAAGTAAGTTACTTTTCACTATATTTAAATGCATAAATTAACTATTGGTGCATTAGTCGAATAAGAGAAAGCACGAGGAAGCTCTAGGAATGACTTTTGACATTGCTGAGGAGAAAAGGAAAAGACACAGGAGAACAGCTACAGAAATTGCGAGGCATTATAGATGTCCCATAGAAGATTGCCCTAAGTCTTATGGGTAGGCTTAATATTCAAGTATAAACTTTATTTAGTTCTGAGGGATCATTGAATCAGCACATTAAGTTAAAGCATCCAGAGTTTTATCAATAAATGTCAGCAGCAAATCCAAGTCTGCCAGGAATCAATGATTCTAAGAGAGGAGGTGATTCTACTGTAAATGATGGCCACAGTCATCATGGACATGATGATGGGGATACCTATGGAGATAGAAGCGATGATAGTGATTAGAGTGATGACGTGCATGATGATGAGTCATATAGCTAGAGATAAGGAGGTGGCCCTAATGGCGGCTATAATAATAGAGGTCATTAAATAGGCGCCAGATGATTAATGTAAGTGTTTTTATCCTAATTCATTACTAAGTTTGATAGGTGAATTTTAAAGTTTTGTAATCATTAGGAAGCCATCCACTGATTTGGAGGGAAAGAATACTGATTTTCTGAGCAGTTAACTTTCTGCTTCTGCTATAAATTATCTCTAAGTACTATGTAATTTATTTATAACTAATTAAAGCTAATTCAACTTATCTCTTAAAGGGGTTTTGGGGTTTTGGGGTTTTGGGGTTTTGGGG